CTTTGAAAGAAGCAGCGCACGCCTGGTCCTGATTGTACACACCTGTGGCCAAGGAGGTGAATGGAAAACCCTGAACCCATTGATTTTGCGGGGTATCCCAATGCTTTTATGGCAATTCAATTTGTGTGTGAGAGTGGTGTGTGTGTGTGTTGTGTGTGTGTGTGTATAAATTATGAAATTATTCAGTTTTCTTTCTGTTTTCCTTTTTTTGTAGGCCTTTTTATTGTAGGCATTCCAGTTTGTTTCAAATGGTGAGCATGCACCACTGCTCGAGTTGCTCCTTATTGACCTATCAAAACTTAAACAACCAGGAGTCAATAGAGAAATCCAGTTTGTTTGTGGTATGTTTCCCTACAGTGAAAATTGGCTAGAAATCTCAACAGGGATAATACAAAAAAATTTGTTAAATGTATCTAACTCTTTCCAATTCAATGCCCCCCCCCCCCCCCAAAGTCTATTTTGCCATTTCCCCCCAGTGTCAGAAACCTGCTGCAGTCCTGCTATAAATTGCTGATGGCCATCATTACTAGTAAAAAATAAAAAAAAAAATTAGCAAAAACATGTAGCAGAATACATTTTTGGCACTTATGACGACATTTGGTTTTTTTAGTTTTTTTTTTTATTTATTTTTTTCTTACTGGACATATTTTATTAGCAAAAAATGATTTTTTTTTTTTTGTGTGGGGTTTTTTTTTTCTCTCACAATTGTTGTGTATGTGTGTGCGGTGTGTGTGTGTGTGTGTATGTATGTATATATATTATATATATTATATATATATATATATATATATATATAATATATATTATATATATATATATATATAGTATATTATATTATGTTATTTTTTTTTTTATCTAAATGGCAGAAAAAATTAAAAATGCACAGGTGATCAAATACCACCAAAAGAAAGCTCTATTCATGGCGAAAAAAGGACATCAATTTAATTTTTGGGTGCAGCAATGCATGACCTTGCAATTGTCAGTTAAAATAATGCAGCGCTGTAATGCAATACATGGCCTGGTCAGGAAGGGGGGGTTAAATCCTCTGGAGGGCAAGTGGTTTAAACAGGTCCTTCCAAACGCCACTGTGGTGGCAGATGAAACGTGTAGTTTTGTTCATTTCATTCACAAGTCTTTTTTAAAATTCACAAAACGCTCTTTTTTAAATGGTGACAAGTGTGGGAGAAGATCTCCCACCTGCCATCACGAGGGGGGCAGGGGTATAGAGAAGGTGTAGGAGCTTGCCCATGTTATATGTTCCACCCTAAAAATGTCTTATTTGTCAAAGCTTAAAGGATAAGTTCACCTTACAGACAAAAATAATAAATGCACATTTTTACAGGTAAAGTGCAGTTATTTTTGTCTACAGGAGCCTGGAAAGCATTGCACCAGTGATCAATAGATTGCTGATGCCATGCAGGTCTCCTGCAGACCTGTCAGAATATCTGCTTGCTGTATGGGATGTATGGCCAAACAGATATTCTGACAGCTTCAATTACCTACCACGGCACTCCACAACACAGTGGTAGTTCATTGAAAACTACAAACTGACAGCTGCTAAGGCTCTCGGGACCAGGGGCGGACTGACCATTTGGAAACTCTGGCATTGCCCGAGGGCCGGGGTCAGTATGGGGCCCCATGAGATGCCCCTGGTACCTTTTTCATAGGCTTTTTTGAGTTTGGGCAAGGACACAGGGGCCCCATGATCCCCTATTGCCCGGGGGCCCCATGAGTTGTCAGTCCGCCCCTGGTAGGGACTTGCAGTTCATTCATTCAGTAAGTCTGTGAATGAATGATGCAGCCGTGTGGGTGGAGCCCCGCACGGCCGCACTGTTTTCAAATTTGACAGTACAGGGAGAAGTCTCCCTGTACTATCTGCCAGAGGTAGGGGGCTGTGGTTGCAGTTATGGGAACATGTTACATGTTCCACCCTAAAAACGGGGGGAGGGGGGTGACATGTAACATGTTCCAAAGGTGAACTTGTCCTTTAGTGGTTTACTAATAATACGTTTAAGGAATAGGCAAGGGCGGACTGACAACTCTTGGGGCCCCCGGGCAATAGGGGATCATGGGGCCCCTGTGTCCTTGCCCAAACTCAAAAAAGCCTATGAAAAAGGTACCAGGGGCATCTCATGGGGCCCCATACTGACCTGGGCCCTCGGGCAGTGCCTGAGTTTCCAAATGATCAGTCCGCCCCTGACTGCATCAATGAATCAATCATAATATCAAAACCGGGGAAGTAGACCAACTGTCAGTGAGCGGTAAAGGAGATCTAGGATACAGAAGTGCTGGAATAGAGGCATCTGAGGGCAGGGGGTCTCTGCTGAGCCCGTGTTTTTGTGTGTTTTTTTGTTTTGTTTTGTTTTTGTTTTGTTTGTTTTGGTTTTTTTTTTACTGAAGGTAGTTTTACATTGGTAAATACTAGCAATTGCAAAGGTTTTTCTAAGCGGTCAAAAGAACTTTTTCTGTTGCTGACGCTGCTCTACTGTAATTTCCCGCACACTCCCAGAGTGCCCTTTTTTAGATGATTTCTATGGAGATTTAGGTCATTATTTTAATGTAAGTATTATATGAATTAACTTTTTTTTTTTTTTTTTTTTCTCATCAGTCTCTTCCAGGTTGCATGGACCATTGTTATGTACTGAACAGTAGATGTGAAAATGGAAGTGCTGTAATGGGTGCAGTGGTCAGCAAAATACCTTTCACACACCACAGTCATGTGCCATTCATCCTGGAAATTTTACGATATCAAGCCGCGTACAGTACTTTGCTCAGAAGCTGTTTATCTGAGACAATGAACCCTAAAGGTAAGTCTATTCTGCTTCTCATTACAACCTTTATCCAGGAAAAGACTGGGTACACCTCTCCAGGGGCGGACTGACCATTCAGGTACTTGGGAACTGCCCGAGGGATCAGGGTCAGTAGGGGGCCCCCATGAGATGCCCCTGGTACTTTTTTTTTTTTTTTTTTTTTTTTTTTTTTTTTTTTTTTTTTTCCACCTTCTTTGAGTGTGGGTGAGGACACAGGGGCCCCATGATCCCCTATTGCCCGGGGGCCCCATGAGTTGTCAGTCCGCCCCTGCACCTCTCATAAGAGAAATATGAGGGCTGTCATTACTCCGCTTCTTTTCAAAATGTTAGTTGCCGGTCTCTATCCGGCTTCAGTGCTCCTGAGTCTTAAACCTAAAATAAGAATGTAGCAAATGAGTTTAAATCTTTATATATTGTTCCAAGTCAGGGACTTCCAGCTCTTTCACATGGGGGGGGGGCAAAAACAGGATGCAGTTTTGCTGCCATCCCAGTTGCCCTTCTGAATACTAACATTACTGCCAGACAGGGCTGTACACGTGCCATGGCCGTGATGCTGAGCTTTGCGACTGCAGAAATTTTAATTTGGTCTTCGCCTATTGAGATCAGTGGGGCCACAATGCAACTACAAACTAAACTTTTGGCTTGCAGTTGCATCACAGTCCTGCGATTTTTGTAAAATTGCCAATTAATTAAAAACAAAATGTGTATCGGGAGGTTTCAGTACCACCTTCTGAATGCCTGCCAGCCACTGCTATACCACTCTCTGAAAAGTGATCCACTAGTTACTTTTCAGAGGGCAGTAAGCATTGCTGCCAGTGTGAAGGAGCCCAACAAGCATTGAAGCCAAAGCCTCTGCATAACGGCCAGATTGTTGGCTTCTTCAGAAGGAAAGGTATTGAGAAAGAACTAAAGACTCAAATAGTTCCTAATCTGACTGTAAATGTACAGGAAAAAATAGAAAATCTATTCTGAGTGGAATATATAGGTTACTAGTGCTCAGCATCTCATACAAATGCTGTTTTTACCTGGCTGTCCTTGGTTTCAGTACAGAGTCATTGACCCAGAAAAGGTTTGCAGAAAGCCTGTGATGGGAAAAGAAAACTAGAGCTCTGGCTGTAAAGGAGATTAAAATATATTAGTATGCACTAGTTCATTTTTCCCAAATGGCACTGAAAATCAAATGGTAAGAAAAAAAGAAATCAAGTAAGGGAAATCTTCTTGGTTTTTAGGTTTAACCCTTAGACTGACAATGGTGTGACACGTCATACCAATCAAAGGGTTCAAACAAGCCGACCGCTGCAAAGGCTTTGGACTTTTCTGGTAGAACTTTAGAGCCACTTTTACGGGGCACAGTGGGGTTGATTTTACAAAAGCTGGAGAACGCAAAATCTGGTGCAACTCTGCATAGAAACCAATCCGCCTCCAGGCTTGTGTGTGGGTTTTTTTTTTTTTTTTTTTTTTTTTTTTTTTTTTTTGTGAGTGCTTAAAGCGATACTAAAGGTTCAGGGTTTTTTTTTTTTTTTTGGGGGGGTGTTTTTATTTATATATCTACATATATTTCATACCTGCTGTATGCAGTGGTTTTGAGTACCCTGTTGGCACTCCTTGCTCCTCCTTTCTGTCGGGTGCCCCCATAGCAAGCAGCTTGCTATGGGGGCACCCGAGCAGGCTGTTCCCAAGCTGCTGCTCCGTGTGTCCATTCACACATGGATCTGTGGCTTGGCCCCACTCCTTCTCTCTCCTCATTGGCTGACTGGCTGTTATTGATAGCAGCAGGAGCCAATGGCTCACGCTTGCTGTCTCAGCCAATGAGGAGGCAGAGACCCGGGACAGCCAAGGCTGTGGAGCACATCGATGGATCACGATAGGGCTCAGGTAAGTATTGAGGGGGCTGGGGGCACTGCTGCACACAGGTTTTTTACCTTCATGCATAGAATACATGAAGGTAAAAAACTTTGAGCCTTCACAATCACTTTAATTGAACAAGTTGAGTTAGAAGCTGATTGACTACCATACACAACTGCACCATATTTTGCACTCTCCAATTGTAGTAAATCAACCCCATTATGTGCACACCCCCACCAGTCTGCCTCTTGTTGTTCCAGGGGTCTCTTGTCTTCCCCAGGAGCCTGGGAGCACAACAAACTGAGGCATCATGGACGCTATGTGCAGCGCGGTCTGGAGGGGGTGGTCAGGTTATTTGAAGTTAGTTCACCTTTTTCATGATAAAGGTCAACTTGCACTTTAAGGATTGAATGTAGTGCAAAATGAATTCAGACTTGCAGGTATTTGATCACCTATAGAGATTCTGCCATGGACATACCAGTAATCATTGAAAAAATGGAGGTTTAGCTGAGTCACTGGTTAGGGGCCACAAATTTAAACCACCTAAGATAGATATATATATTATATTTTATTTTTTTGCAGATCACAAAAGAGTACTTCACTTCGAAATCTCCCTGCAAAAAGACTTACAAATTAGTGTTTCTTTTCAGAATCCCAGGGGTGGAAGTCTTATGTGTGGTATGTGTTTATGGAAGAACAAAAAATGAAATGTCTCCTATATCCTAAAATGTTGCCGTGTTGTAAAGTATAACTTATCTTGCTTCCTATTGTATAAAATGTGATGTGGAAGTTGCTGCGCATGTTGCCATGTTGTAAAGCAAACCTATGTTTGTGTTAAGTGCAGTTGTCGTCGAAGTCTTGAGCTCAAGGAAATTAATGAGCACCCTGTATACCAGCTCTTCTGACCCTCCCTTGCCTTGCAACAGTGAATTTATCGTAAAGATTCTGGAATGGTAAGCTGGAATGTTGTTTGTTTTTTGTTTGGTTTGGTTTTTGTTGGTTTGGTTTTTTGTTGGTTTTTTTTTGTTGGTTTGGTTTTTGTTGGTTTGGTTTTTGTTGGTTTTTTGCAGAGCCAAAAATGCAAAACTATATACAATAGTCAATGCATGCACATATGGGCATACTGGGGCATGTAACGTAAAATGATGTTGCATACAGCCAGCTGTACAAATGAATTGTAGAATATGCATATTTGTTCTTATGGGATCAACTGAGAACTTGCACCATTACAAAATCTTGTTTTTTTGGAAACCGGTTGAATAGCCTGTCAAAAGTTCAACTAAAAATACGGCTTTGTTGCAATATTAATCTTTAACCACTTGCCCTCCTGAGGATTTACCCCCCTTCCTGACCAGTCCTTTTTGCTATACAGCGCTGCACTATTTCAACTGGTAATTGCGCGGTCATGCAACGCTGCACCCAAACAAATGTTGTTTTTTTTCACATAAATAGAGCTTTCTTTAAGTGGTATTTGATCACCTGTGTGCTTTTATTATTTTTCACACTCAGGGGCGGACTGACCATTTGGAAACTCGGGCACTGCCCGGGTCAGTAGGGGGCCCCATGAGATGCCCCTGGTACCTTTTTTTTCATAGGCTTTTTTGCGTTTGGGCAAGGACACAGGGGCCCCATGATCCCCTATTGCCCGGGGGCCCCATGAGTTGTCAGTCCGCCCCTGTTCACGCTATAAAAAAAAGACCGAAAATGTTGAAACAAAAACAATATTTTCTCCTTTCTGTCATAAAAAATATCCAAAAAACCCACTTTGTCATACCACCATAGACCAAAATTTATTCTATTTTTTTTTGTACAAAAAATCCCAGTAAGTGTATATTGATTGCTTTGTGTGGAAGTTATAGCGTCTACAAACTATGGTATAGATACTGTCATTTACACAGCTTTTTACTT